ATCGCCTCATAATGGGCCAAAAATCGCACAGTGTGAGCCCGGTATAATATGAGATACTGGAGGTTGTATTCTTGTCTAAAATATACTCTTTATTCAGTGACTTGTATTTTTACAGTATTTTTTTTGTTTTTCCACTATATAGAATAACATCATAAGAATATATCAGTCACAAGCTTTGTACAACAAACAATGTTCACTACACAAGACACACCGTGAAGGAGTATTTTTTTCTTTTACTTTCTCGGATGCCTGCCGCTGTGATGGTTTCTGGATCCTGGGCCATCGTAAGACCTCAGGCACCGGCGGCTTGGTGTATTTTTAAGCAGCCCTTTCTTCATCACACCTTTCTACAGTTCTGACAGTTGGCTAGCTTCTCTCTGTGCTACCTTGATCTTGGCCATCATGGGGGTTACTGCTGCTGGGTACTGTTCATCTTATTGCCAAGCTTCTCAAGAATCACTGTTGCCTTGGTGTAAATCAGCTCCTTTGGTTTCAGTGATGGATTGGCCTTAAAGCAGCATTCACATCTTCTAGTAGGCTTTCAGAAAGTACTTCATGTAGTCTTGGTAGTATATAGACTCTTTAAATAAGTAAATTGTGAAATTCTGATACATTGGCAACAGTGACAGATTTCAACAACTAGAAATTACACCCCTGCTGCAGGTGGTTTTAGCACTTCTATGAATTTCTACAATTTATGGGTTCCTGGAGAATTTTGGCGTGATGACATTTATAACTTTTTCCTGTGAACACTAATTAATTTTTGCTGCCTCGTGTCAAGAATTAATCATAAAACTTAGCTGACGTATGACTTCTCCAGGCCTCTGTAGCACTTTCATGTCTCTTATCTTTACGGTATGGTGTGAAGGCTTTTTAATAATATTTTTTGTTCTGGATGTTTTAGATTAGGAAGACATGAAGTCCTGAGTACCTTTGGTAAATGCCAAATCATTAGGTACAAATAACTAGGTAATCCCTGAAACTGCATAACTTTTGGAGCATTTATGGTCAGCAGGGATATTTTTTATGAGTAATTTTCTACAAAAACCTTGACGTCAGGGTTTTGTAGAAAGGTTTTGTAGTTTGCTGATAAGCTGTTGATGTCATACACCAAAAGGATCCTGCCTTATACATTATACAGTACATCTTTGTGATTTTCAGCTTTTATTTTTATAGCATGAAAACAAGTATTTTTAGCATATTGGACACAGGCAGTCATGTTTTTCCTAAACGGTGTAGTCTTTTAAAACCCTATTCATGTGAGTGGAACAGCCAGTGGAAGCTGTTTTTCCTGACCTTGAAATGCATTTTTCCCTTGTAGAAAAATACATGTGTTGATGACTGTTTTGTGCCATTAGGATGTCCAGTGCACAGACTGGAGGTGCAAACAGGTAGGAGGTTCATTCATATCAGCAGGTACAAAGTGAGTTATTTGTATATTGGTGGAACATGTCTGTTGCAGTGTGAGTTTTTCAACAGTTGGGTTATTTTCAAATTCTGGTTCTTTATCTGAAACTGGTGAGCATCATATTACTACATTTTTTAAAGAATTCAGTGTGTCACCCTCAGACCTGACACAAATGAGGTGGTTATAGGTTGATAGAAGGTGTGGGGTGGTACTGGGGATTTGGATCTGTGTCAGACATGAAAAGGGAATGGCAAGAGGGAGAATAGCACAGAGATGTAATGTAATCTTTCAGAGGAAAAGAATGTGAGAGATGAAGAGGCGACACTGTAAGATATGTGGACTGTTCTACTAACTGCTTGTCTGAATCCTAAATGAATCACCTCGAAGTTTACGGCAATGGAAAGCCTGTGTGCATAACGCATGTGGGAGTTTGCAGTGCACAGAGTTTCTCCACCTGAATCTGGTATTCTTGGTTTTATATATTTAATCTTGCATAGGTGTTGCTGATGCTTTGTTCTGAATGACTGGAGGGAGGATTATGAAAGACAACAAATGGGTACTTCCCATTTTTGTTGCCATGGATGCATCTTGGGAACAAATTTGTTGCTGTTGCAAATTGTTTTTACTTGAGTGATTGGACTTGCTTTTCTTTGAAGATGGCAAAGTAGTAAATATTTAAATATATCCATATGTATGTGTGCGTGTGTGTGAGAGAGTATTTCTGTTTGTGTGTATGGATATGGATTTACAGATAGAAGAGAACTGAAAACCAGACAAAAGACACATACTAAAAGGATGCTACATGCTCCAGCTGTAAAGACATGATAATCAGTTCTAAATCCAACAGTGTGTTGATTTTGTTATACTTGCTGGCTAGGTTGTTGGATATGTCTATTCAGCTTGCCAACTTAAATGTGTTTGCCTAACATTAGTGTAGGCACATTTTAATAATCACATATAGACAATATATGACACACGCTATATGAAACACAGTAATATAGTTATTGTATTGTAGCTTCTTAAGTGTGGGAGATTACAGCACCATATTTAAAGAGGAACAGAGACAGACATCTGGCAAGTATGAACACAACCTATTAAATTACCAATATAACTGAGTGTGCAAATGTGATGGAATTTAGCACACAGGTGTGTGTGTGTGCGTATGTGTGTGTGTGTGTGTTTATTTATGCATTTGCTAGTGTGCTGGTGTATGTGTGCAAAATCATGTTCATGTTGTCCTTATAGTCTAAGCTGAGAGTGACAGCCTCATACATAATGCATTAAGAACATGAGGATAAGGATAGTTGACATTTGGTTGCTCGTCATTTAGGATATTTCTTCCCTGGGGGACACTACGCTCTCAGATAATCACACATGGGTATTAATGCACACACACACACACACACACACACACACACACACACACACACACACACACACACACACACACACACACACCCGTTGCTGTACATAAGCCAAAGTATAAAGTATTTCTCATCCGGGCATCCGGGTACTGTAAATGGCAGATGTTCAAGTCAGAGTCAAAGGCTGGATTCAGCTCTGTGTAACCGTATTAAACAATAGCTGATTAAACAGCTTAAAGCACAGTGTGCATGCAGCATGGGCTCATGTGTCTACAATGCTTAGTGAAATGTGAGAGTTACAGTCAAATATGTATAATTCAAGCATTTTTAATTCTTATTCTTTGGTTGCAATTACGACACAGTTACATTTTTTTTTCATTTTTATAATATTTGTCCAGAATGTAAAGTGTAGCCACACTGCATCAGTTATGGTATTTAGAACAGCATGTTACATAAGTTCATGTTGTCTACTGAAGCATATACAGTACATAACACACATAACTCGGTGACACAGACATGTAGGAAGCAGCTGCGCAGCCAGGGCTTACTGCTGCAAGAACACTTTTATTTTTAAACCGTCTGTTTATTTCATCAAGAGGAGATCAAATGTGGGGAATGATATGAGCATGTCACAACAAAACTTAAAGAGCTGTCTGAACATTTTAGATTTATGTTTGTCAGTCATTTACCGGTTTACTGTTTTGTATAGTTAACTAAAGCTGTGCGTTGGGTGAACACTTTTGATTATAGAGTTATAAGGTTAAAGTTTGTGCCAGAAAAGATTTTTATTTTCAACCTTTGACTCACCTGAGTTAATCTCCTTGTAATGTGAGTAAATTTAATTTTAAAAAGGCAACACAGCACATGAATATTGTGCCACTTGCGATAATGTCAATATTGCACCATACTAAATACATCAACACTTAAGTTGTGTTCGCGCCGAGGGCAATTTTTAATAGCCAGGGAACTTGTGACTATGGGCGAGAGAACCACAAGAGAAGGGAAGTGGGTTTGGAGCTGAACTCGATTAACAGGTGAATATCAGCTTCAACTCAAGTAGCAATTTTGCTTTTCAAAAAGAAAACTATGCTCAAGAAAGGCTGTAAAAAAAAAAGAAAGAAAGACAGAAAGAAAACAAAGGCTGTACAACAAGCCGAGGAATTTCAGAAGAGAACGGTATACATGCGAACGGTGTGACGCACTGTTTAGAGAAAAAAAATGAAAAGATACCCTCCACTAAAGGTGGTTATAGTGTGAGCATTAGCCTGAGAGTTAAACGCCCTAATTTGACACAGTTGGGTATTTAAGGCATTTACCATTGTCATAATTAGTACCAGTATAGTCTGGTACTATTTGCCCTCAGTGAAAACTTTACCTGTGACATCCTCAAATCCCAATTAATCTCTTAAGCCCCAAGCCTACCTGATCTCCTGCTTTTTGCCCCCGTATCAGGGGGCGTTGGGGCTTAAGAGGTTAAAAATGATACCAATTAAAGAAACATGAAAATTACTTCTGTGCTGTTTAAACTCTGAAATGACTGTGAACACAGAAGCTTTTTTTTTTAATGTTGTACACAGACCATTTAATGTGGGCAATTACTGTGGCCACAGTCTCAGCCTGGTAGATAGAATTTAATTCCACATCACATGATCTGTTTTTGTAAAGCTAGCAAGCAAGACTGTTTTTTCAGCCAACTTTATGAACATTGTGTAACCTGGAAATTTTTGTATAATAATTTCAATATAAAATTGAATATACGAACATACCAAAAGCCACTAAGCAGCCACTGAAATTCCTCATGGATTTCTTAAATTCACTGACTACAGCAACCATTAGGTTAACAATTCACAGTATAGGACTGACTGAACATGTGAGTCTTTATACTGCAGGCAGTAGTTGGCTGATGCTATTACTGTAACTTTATCCATAGCAGATTCTGCAGAGTTTTGGAAAACTAAACCCATAACCAATTTGCAGCTACACAGCTGAGTAAAAACATTCTATTTGGACATTTAACTCTGATTAGCTGCTCCTAACAAAACAGCTTAAATGGTTCAATGCTGGAAATTACACAATTCTAGGGGAAGCAAAAAGAAATTGCTAATGTTTTGATGAGAAAGGGAGAGAGCAATTGGCATTATTTCTTTATTCAGGGAACCATTATGATCTGATTTTATGCTGAACGTGAGCCTGTGAAACAGCAGGGCACAGTCAAAGGAGCTGGTTACCTTGCTCAGAAGTTGGATTCCGACTGTTGCCTGCAGCTCTTCATCTACACCTCAGTGTGGAAGGTCCTTCTTGTTCCACTTCACCCTGCATCATCTTAGACTGATTCACTGTTAAAATTGTAGAAAATGCCAGTTTTTTTGTTTTGTATGCAGTTTCAGTGATATGAGATCGCTTACAAACACACTGCAAAGTTTCCCTCTGACTACTTCATAATACAAATGCTTTTAAATATAGCTGTTGTTAAATGTGTTCAGCATGATTTCTTTTGAAATCCTGACTGTTTAATTAGCATGACTAAAAACATTTTGTATGAGGGACTTCAGCTTGTAGTACTGTAAATTTTGCAGCATGTTTATGATAGCAGCATATTCTCAATCACCCTTTGGCAACAGTGTAAGTCACAAATTTTATTTAGTCAATAATTTAATTTTGACATTTTAATTAAATTTCATTCATTTAGTTTTTTTATTTAATACGTATTTAATCGTAATTTGCAAATTTAATTTTAAAGACTTTAAAATTAATTAATTAGTTAATTAATTAATTTTTTAAAGAATTTAGTTAAAACTCTTTTCTCATCCAGATAATTTCAGGCAAGGCCTTGCATAAACAACATACTGCAGCCTTTCGCCAACTGAAAATATCTGGTGGCATTTGCATGATGAAACAAATGGATACAGCTGGACTGTTGAGCAGCTAGACTTCTCTATCAGAAAATAATGGGACAACATTCCTCTCCCAAAAGTCCAGCAGCTGATCGCCTCAGTACCCAAACATTTACGTACTGTTGTTAAAAGAAAAGGGGAAGCTAAAGATGGGCAAACATAGCTCTATTTTTGAGACATGTTGCCGTCATCAAATCGAAATGTCCCTACTTTTTTTTTTCTTTCTTCAAATGGTGCATTCTCCCAGTTTAAACATTTGACATCTTAGTCACCCTTTCTATTATTGCTCGGTAATAAAGTGGTAAAAGTAGGGTAACAAGGCAAAAATGAAATCTAAATAATTACAGCTCAATTACCAAAGTAATAACCACTGAATATCCAAGTATCGTGGCAGCAACAGTGGTCACATTTGAGTAACATTACACTAAAATGAATATAATTGGAAAATAAAGGGCCAAAAACTGGGTGTAATAATGTGGCTGCACTGCTCGGTAATAAAGTGGTGATAGTAGAGTAACAAGAATGTCATAATGTGTGATTTCTAAGTTATTACCACTAATTACCTGTGGTAGTTTCTGTGTGATAAGCAGGAACCACAGGTGCAAAATTGCCTTTAAAGTGATGCACACTCACTATTGACTTAATTAAATCTAAAACCATGGTAAAAAAATAAAATGTTCTGTGTACTTTTTTTTTCAGCCATAGAAGCACATCATCTAACGTGTAAATCTCTAACATACACTGAATCAAGCAGTCTCCTTCTGTGTGTGTTGCTGTACTTTTTCTGAGAACCGATTATCCAGGCACACTGCTGGGGACTCAAGTAAGTGCACCCTGAAGTTAGAGGTCGGCGGTCTCATTTTAGGTGCCTTTTCGCTGTTGCTAGGCAATGGGTGTAGCCTGTCACTCTAGTTGCTAGGCATCATCACAATCAAAGGCAAATTATTTCATGTGATGATGTCACACCTAGTATTGTAGGATATGGTAACTCAGAGAAGTGATTTTTTACTAAGCGTTTTAAAGAACCATTACTACCTCAATGAGTTGTCACAGCTACTGTCAAATTACAGCCACTCAATGTCAATTGTTTTATTGGCGGGCATTTGACTCTTGCCTTACACAGTGTATATTCAGCTTTCAGAGTGTTAACATCTGATGAGAAGCAAGAAGTGCAATGTGGTTGCCTTCAGCAAACATTAGGTGTAAAAATGCATGCAAAATATTACCAATTCAATAACTGATATTCATTGTAGGTTGGAGAATTGAGAGGCTTTTCCTTGTGTTTGTTTTTACTTGAGCCCGCAGCTGCAACAGAGCAGATAGTGAGAAGCAAACATGATTTCCCCATGCAGCAAAAGTAAAAAGTCAAGACATGGTTAATGAATCACTTTAGTAACTCCAAACTGGATTCATTTAATTAATGCTGTTAAACTGCATTCCTACACACAAGTTGCAGATTAGGACACTAAATTGCAAAGAAATGCTTCTTTGGACACACTAAGGAAGTCAAGAAATTGTGAACTTTTATTAGCTCTTTGTGTTTGTCCTTAAAATGCAATTTCATATGGTCCACATACAAAGCATAGAGTAGAGATAGTGCTGCGTACAAGGAAAAGCTAAGGATTTCAAATGAAGTAGTCTATAAATAGACTAAAGAGAGAAAAAAAAGGGTCTTTTTGATGTAAATTGGGGTTCTCAGCCGTTCTGTGTATTTGTAATGTATTAAACTCTCAATGTGGTAAGAAACTAATGAGAATGAAAGCAACAAGTGTATTGTGCTCTTCGGTGTCACATTATCCCTTGGGCATGTCCTGTGATTTCTGCTGATTTGTGCTGGGAAGAAGGGGAAATCTTTGACAAAATTGTTATGGTCTTTAGAAGCTCTGAGATCAGACTCCAGCTAAAAAAGCTCTTTGTAGAAAACTATGTGCTTTACACTTTTTCTGATTCTCATAATGCCCTAAGCAGCATTTTCCAACTTTCTGTTTAAGACATTCTTGAATGAAGCTGGGATTTGTGATCTGTTGTTTATATGGTTTTGTATTGGGTTTTATTTATTTTTGTTTTTTAATTTGGAAAAGCAGTGAAGAGCAGTGTTATTGGAGGGCCAGATATGTAAACGATTTATTTTATTGATCCTGTTATTTGGTTTTAAGCCTGTAAAATTTCATATAAAGGATAAAGATTATAAAAAGACTCTTTGAATTTTTTTAACAAGCGATAAATAATTTTGACCTTTATTACTTTGACTGTAAGATGATAAATATTATTGCTGCATTAGACCAAACAGAGTAATAAAAAAAAATAAGTTGCCGTTCTATCACCCAAGACTTGGACTGATTGTAATAACACAAAAACACTGCACAGTAGACTGTCCGTATACACTGTAACTGACTAAATGCAATTATAATTCAATTATACCTACGTAGTTAATTATGGTAGAAGCATATTAAGATGTACTAATACATCAACTACTAACAGTAGATTATCATTTAATTTCCTGTCAGATTCTCAAACATTCATTCTGCATCTTCATTAAATGTGCAAAAAGATGAAATTCAAATGACAGACATCAAGTTAGCAAAAGTAAATGAAACATGATTTAGTTGGCCCACAGCCACACGCTTGGTTTTACAAGTTAATGCAGTGGTTCCCAAATTCTTTTTTGCTGGGCCCCCCTTTGTTTTACAGAAAAATGTTTGCGCCCCCCCCCCTGCGCGCGCACACACACACACACGCACGCTAACACTAACGCACGCTAACACTAACGTACGCTAACACATCCTACAACCACACACACCCATATTTTGATCAATTGCGGTTTATTTCACACCTCAAATATTTAGTAAACAATTAAGCAAATACAAGTAATCTGCAGGTAGTAAGAAAATAAACTACTAACTCTTTTACGCTACGTTCGCACCTACACGGGTATTTTTGAAAACGCAGCTGTTTCATCCACACGTAAACGGCGTTTTGAATCACCGAAAACTGAGATTTTTTAAAACTCATTTTTTGCGTTTACGTGTGGACGAGGAATACAGAGTTCGTCATGCAACGTTAAAGGTATGTGCCTTTTTTCACGTCAGCTGTGCGCCACGTTATTGTTTACATGAGAGGAATTAATGGCAGATAGTCAGATTAACAGTATTTTGTCTCTATCTTCGGGTTTTACACGCTTACATATAAACACGCAGTTACTGTCCCTCCATTTAGAAAGGCAGAAGCATCACGGTGTAATTATTTTACGTGTACTTGGTTTTTTTTCTGTGTAATAATATTCAACATTGCTATCAATACATTTTTCAAAAAAAATGTCTCTCTGTGCAAAATGAGTTTAAAAACATAAACAGCTGTGGGATCCTGTTTGGAGAGCCAGGTGAGTGCTCCCGACGCAGGGAAAACCAATTCTGCAGGGGAGACCTGGCACTTGTGCAGGTGAAACCAAAGGGCAGATATCCTTCATCATATTTTCAAGTCTTTGGCTTAGAATGAAGTTGGTTTGGAAATATATTCTGCGATGCTTCATCTCCTGCTTTGCGTTTGTGTGGGCGCCCCATGCTAGCAGTGTCCAAGTGTTGTTTTTGGGGTTTTTTTCCCTTTTCATGCCCCCCCCCCCGCAATGGCTCCACACTTTGGGAAGGTCTGAGTTAATGGATCAATGAGCTTTTCCGCCAGTTTGTGTGTGAACATAATAACCACATGTGTGACTTTCCACTGGAAATATGATGAATCTTCATTCATAATGCACTCCTATACACCGTCAGTGACCTCTTCCACTTACATCTCACCATAAAAACAAGGGTAATAAGCCTTTTTTTGAGTGTGTGCGTGTTCATGTGTGTGTGCATGCCCTCTTTATTCATAATCAATGACGTAACCTTGACTATCGTTCTAGCATGCTAGCACTTTCCCCAACTAAATAGATTACATTAATTTGTTCTGGCAACTCTTCAACCCATTTTAAAGGAAAGATGTAAAATAACAGGAGCAAATAGAGTAAAAAGTAGTAGTCCGGAAACATCAGGACACCAACATGATGTAATCACCTTGAAGAAAGAGCACATGTGGTGAGTGGTCAATATAAAATATCACCTTCCTAATAGAAAGGTACTTGGGAGTTCTCCTTCATCTGCTCCATAAACCTGATTTATTGTGGACTCAGCCTTTCACACCCACTGGCACGTCACCGCAACCCGCCTTCCCTCCCACATTGATGTGGAAACTGATGCTTGAAATGACACCTCCATAAAGTCACAGAGTGCGACTAGCTGGGTTATATCATGGGTTATAAATAAATAAAGTCAGAGTCAGATGACACATACATACACGCATTCATCCACACACGCTAAACATGTACCACAAATAGGTGTATACTTTCATAATAAGTAGGGCATCAACCAGCAATTATTATGAGGATCTTAAATGTCAGAAATGAAAAACAAAAAGATTCACCATTCACTGAAGTCAAAGGGATGTCTTCATAACTTCATGTTAGACCTGCAACTAATAGCTCAATTTTTAAGATTAAAGAATCATTTGGTCTTTAAAATGTCTGAAACAAAAACAAGGTCACAAAGATCTTTGAGGATTCATAAAGAATTTCTGATAAGGCTGAAATTCTTGCCAGTCTGAACAAGACTTTCATTTTCTCTGATTCTCTTAACATTACTTATCAGATTCCCTCTAATGTTTGCTCTAATGATAATATTCTCAGAAGTTATTCCTTTAATTTTCTTCCAGAGACAGTCCCACAGGTGCATAAAGCCCTCAAACATTTGGAAGCCCCCAAGCCAGGAAGTCGGCAGGTCCTTTTAACCTCAAACTTTTACTTTTTAAAGCTAGCAGTGCTTTTGCCATATCTTTTTAACCCTCTCAAGGCAGGCGTTGCCGATTTGCAACAGTTAAAAACTAACAACCTGATTACCCCACATACATATTTTATTTGAGCTTTTTTTACTCAGAAGTACCACTGCAGGACTTGGTTGTGCATTAGCAACAAAAAGTTTACTTTGAGCCTGAGAGGGTTAATCTCTCTGTGGCAACTTATACAATTTATCCAGATAAAAAACAGCATGCAACATTGAGCTTTTTATTGACATCTATAAAGCTTTTGACTCTGTGGATCAGTTTTAAACTGAAGACTTGAAGACCCATGTAGGAAGGCTTTGAATAATATCCTGTTGGGCAGATTTCAATGCAATTGCCCAGAGTACCACTTCTAGCTTCCTGGGCTCATCTGAAGATGTGCCCCAGAAATTGGTCCTCGTCTCGGACTGATCTTTCTATTCATATTGATTAAAATATTTGAAATTCAAACGTCAGCTTTTTCACATAGAAGTCTACTTTGCAACTGCCTCTAGTCAGGTTGTTTAAGTCCCACTACAAATCAATACTCCACAGAATTCCCTGTTTGATTTAAAACCCTGCATTATTCTCAAATGCTAAACCTTCCACTGAAATTCACTGAAATTTTAATTTATCAGTACTTTTTATGTATCTCAGATATTTATCATGTTCATTTTTAAAATCACTACTGTGGCTACGTAGTGTTTTGTTTGCCTCTGCTGATATCTTATCAGTGGAGGCGTTTGTGGTCCTTGAATCCTTAACATTAATCTTTTCCCATGTCTGATCCTCATCATTACATATACAATTACCAGCTACTGACAGGTGAGATTAATTAATACTGTTTCAAAGGTGTCAGTTATGTGGAGGGGGTGGAAGCTGGGGTATATATCCTATTAGACACAGTCATTCCTTGGAGAGCTAAATGTGGGTAAGTGATAGGACCTAAGAGATTTTTGAAAAGAGACAAACTGTGATGGGTAGAAAGGGTCAGATGGCCATGTTCTGCAGAGGTTAGTGGAAGGAAGGAAAACCAATGCATAGGTGACAGGGATGTGGGCATAGTGATGTGCATTGGAAGTAAAGGCTGGCTCTGATCTCTAATGTTGTCACACTGCAAGAGCTGCTGAGGAATGGTTAGAGGACACACCAAAGACTTCTAGGCATTGACTTGTTTTCAGTTTGATGTATCTTCTGTGCTGTAAGAACAACCTTACAATGTGACTGCTGCTAAAGTTTTAGTGCCTAATGCTACAAGTTGCCTTTAGAGTCTTTGTTTGTTTTACAAGTCAAATATTATGCAGCTGGTTTGTACAGTATATAGCCTCCGTAAGTAATTAAATGTCTTTGCTTTGCCTGTCAGGCTTTTCTAGTCTAGCGATGCTGTGATCATCAAATTAACAGATGCACAAGCGGTTAGATTTCTCCCTGTGATACTTTTGTTTTTATCTTTAGCACTAAACACCTTTGATAAAGATTTTATCAAGCTGTGATTAAATTAGAGAACCAAAAAGCTTGAAGGCAATCACATTTGATTTAGCTATTTGGGCAAGCTTTTGCATCATACAACAGTTCAAGAAGGCATCATTGTAACTGAGCAGAATTGATTAGATAAAATCAAATCGAGTATTGTTTGGTTAGCTCATAAGATAACCAACATAAAGGATTTGTTCTTAGCCCATTAACACGAGAAAGTCTTTATTCACATTTGACCTTTCCGTGTCAAACTCTGATGGTAAACTCACCATAAAACACCAAAGCAAATAGAGTTAGACACACTGGAGTCTAAACATGAGGCACGCAGAGACAGAGAGAAATTCTGATAGATACAGCTGGCATTACTGAGGGAGCAACGTATCTTTGGTCAAGCTCCTCAGGGGAGACACTGATGATCCCTATTTATGTTTTATGAGAGTCTTCACTACAAGTACATTCACTGACACAATTTACAGACACATCAACCGGGAAATCCGAGTCGCATGTATGGCAGGGGTACATTTTGCTCCATGTTACTCAAGGTTAATCAAAGTTTAATAGAATCTTCATCTTATAAAATACACTCGGTGTACAGAGTAAATGACTCAAAGGTGTTTTAGCCATAGCTACTGTGATTCACATGACAGATTTAAAGTGACTTTAATTCAATAGATGATGAAACAAGAAAACCAAATAACTCAAAAGCATAATCTTTTAAACCTACACTTACACGCTCACCCAGTCACCTTTTATTGCTTTAACTCCATAAGGAAAAGAGTTACTCTTGGATGTAAGAACATATAGTAGGATTGTGTCTTCGTTAATTCGGTAATGTAAGAGCTTTGGGATTTCAGCACTTGATATAAGCAAGTCTATAAAAATGTGTGTACATGTTAAGCAGGTCAGACAATAAACAGTGAAACTTGAGCTTGGAACAAGCTTGGGACAAGCTCAAGATGTACTTGGCTACATGTAGTTTCTTTATTTTAAAAAAATATTATTCTAAATTTACAAAGCTTGTACAGCAATACTTTATAATCAGAAATTCAGTATTTGAGCAAAGAAACAGAAAAGTTGTACGAGTCTGGTTACAACACCAAACACATCCAGTCAGTAAAATAAATGATCTCCTTACCTTAATGAGAGGGTATGCCAGGGTTGGCTGGGGATCATGGGTGTTGAGTCAGGTCCAGTGCAAAGCTGGTTAAATCTTCTCACACGTGTGGTAGTGCTATGAAAACCAGTAGAGTTGAACATGCATAGCCACTGGTAAACTCTGGTGTATACTACGCGCTCAAGCGCTCCCTCACCGAGTGAGCACACAAGTCGTCAGCAGCAGCAGCCCGACAGCTGTGCTCGGGGAGATCCAAGAGTCGTCAGATAGAAACAGACATGCTGCTGCCTTGTGCTGCCGGTCTCTGCTCTCTCCAGCACTCTCCTCTGTCTCTCAGTCTGCAGCTCCCACTCTCTCACCAGTCTGTGTTGCTCTGCTCTGTCTCTCTCTCCCCCCTTAAATCTCGCTCTTGTACACACATGCATTTTCCACACTGCATCTGCTGCCTCGCTTTCTCTCACAAACACACACACATGAGTACATCTCTCTCAATTTTTATGTTCCAGCATTTTTCTTAACACATCACGTTCTCCTTGTAGTTACCCCAAATAGTCTTTAATGGTTTTAATGTCTCTATATTTTCCGATTCGTTCTAGTTACTTTTCCCTCTTTACAATCTCTCCTCCCAGTATTTTTTTCTGTTATCACATTTTCACTTTTAGCCCTAACCCTTGATGTACATTGAATTTTAGAGATTTAACATACTATACAGGAGAAAGACAGAGGCACTGAAGAGAGAAAGATGAAAACAGAAAGCTAACCGTGAGAATGCAAAGGCACAATGACACACGCGCACAAAATGAATATCTTGATGTGGGGAGTTCTCGGGAGTGGACTGGGGCACAGGTTTGACTTTGAAGTGCAACTGAAAGCAAAATGTCATGCTTAATGTTCGCTCCCTTAGCACAGTTTATTGCTACCAGCAAAGTCACACTAGTGTGGGTGCATTTGCTCCCCAAGTTGCTTGAATAGAATTTCACAAGGCTGGAGAAAAAGGGGTCCCAAAAGCTGCAACAACACAGAATTTACAGACCACACTAATTATAAACTATTTACATTTTCATACACAAGATAAAAATATGTCTCAGCTGGAGTTAAAACGCATGAAAATTTCAGAAGATTGTGTGACGGGGGTGTAAAGTGGGAAACGATTAATTTCCAGTGCCCCTTATTCAGCATTCATGGGTCTGAGCGAATGCATCTCAGCAATAGCAACATCACCATGTTAACAAAATCTATCCACATACAGGCAGATATATATACATCTGCCAAACTACTCTCTGTGCTACTTTTAGCTACAGCAGGTGTCTTCAGATCCGCATTTTACCACTAGTACACAAACACAGAAAGACAGACTGAAAACAATGCCGGCCATGCTGTCGCAGCTGGTTGAGATGTCGCATCTGTCTTCATGACTTGAATGTGTGACATGACATACTGATGGGCGATGGCATTACAGAATTTTTCCAGTCTTTTGCCCTTGACCCCACTTTTTTAATATGCATCGCTTGCAGTATATTGAAAATGTAGCTATGGTTATGAAAAAGATAATATTTCTCAAATTAAAATTTCATATTTAGTCTTTTTCTTTCAGTTCTTCGTCTTTATCATCTCTCTTCATCTTACCCTATTCCTAGCATCATCATGCTGTCACACCAACCCTGTGCATGTCCTAACAGTGGTAATAATTTAAAACAATACACTGTTGTGTGTCTCAAAAGGAGGCAGATTGTAATAGTTTTCCAGGCTTTCTGATGGTCTGTCAAAGTTCTTCAGTCCAGTCCTGTACCTCACCATTTTCAGATTCAAATTACTGTAAATGTAAAAAAGGAAGTGACTAAACAGAGCCAAAAAGATAGGGATAGATGCTCTATTGGTCTTGAACTGCTTTTTAGCCAGTGGTGTTGGCAATTTTGACAAAATTGATGGAATTATGAGTGCAGTACAGTCAGTACGGTCAGATCTCAGTCCACCATCCAGTACCATCTAGAAAACATCTGACTAGCAACAACTTAATTCTTGAGCATGACAGTGGTCCCAAACATACTGCAGTTAAAGCATACATGAATATAAAAACACACAACTGAGCAAAGTCTGCCTACCCAGAGTCCCAGGGACCATTATTTAAGCAGAGAATTGAACAAAAGGTCACGAACACATTCAAAACACTTCTGAAGAAGAGTTTTGAATGTCCTTCAAGAAGTCCAGAGAACTATACTTGAAGACTACGTATAAATATTACAAAAAAGCTTATCTAACAGAGTTCAGGCAGTGTTGAAGAATAAGGGTGACCAAACTAAATGCTGACATTGAAGTTATTTAAAATTGTAAAACCCTTGCTTTATTTCCATTTATGTCTGCACCTATTTCCCCTTTTCCTAGAAAAATAAAAATACATGAGGGAGGATTTTAGAGTTTTGCATACTATTTTGCAGAATAAGACAACTGTTGAAAGCAGAGTTCCTTCCATTGTAGATAGACATAGAGACAACACACAGTGTTGGACAGGTGCATACTTGACATATAAACTGTAACGACAGATGAGACAGGCTCTAGGTAACAAATGCTGAGTGCACACATGGTGATACCCCATAGCCCATCACTGATAGCCCATCTAACACAAGAATAAGGATGTGCAATTCTTCTCTAGTACAGGGCAGAAGAGGGGCTAACAGTGGCTACCTGTCACCCACAGCAAAAACGATCTGCATTTGAATCTTCTGCAGAAGGGCCCTTTGGTACGGAGTTTGCATGTTCTCTCTGTGCCATGGGTACTCTGGCTTCCTCCAGAATAAAGTGCTGTATGGGCAAATGTTTCTTGTAGTCTAAAGTCCTTTGAATGTAATGATTTATTTATGAATGAATTGTAAAGATTTGCATGCAGCGAAGGATTCCTGATCAATGAATTTTTTGTTTATTCTGGGGGAGCCAACGTCTTCTTCATCATTATCAGCACATTTTTTTAATTTTAGTACAAATACTTAAAAGTGTAGTAAAAGTAGTCAAAGTGATAAAGTACAGACTCTGAAATGTACTCACAGTAAAAAGTCTTTAGAGAACATTTCTACTAACTATTTTTGTGCAAAGAGAACAAACAAAAATAACTATTTTTGTTATATTAGTATTTGTCTCCACATCTAAACAGACTCCACACAGCCACTCTGCACCAGGGCAACACAATGTTTGGCTCTAAATTCAAGACAAGCTAATCTGTTTGTCCTAATGTTACATGTGAGCTCTAAATTTCCAATTTAACAGATATTGCAGAGAAGTCCTCAACTTTAAATGTAACCTCTCTTCTTCCTGTCCTGCCTTTCTTACATCTTTCACCTTCTGTGAGTGAAGCCATCTCACACTCTGTTCTCTTCCTGGGAAATACAGCACCTGTAACTTTGGTTGGCAGACAAACTGTGTGAGAAATTGCACAATTCTTTGCTTTGTTTCTGAAATTTGTTGAATTGTTTGAACAATTGCATTTTAAATTACCTGCCACTTAAAAAAAACATTGCTCTCTTTGTGCTCGCTCCTCTTCTGTAGTGCTAGCTTGTTTTCCTAATGAGTATTCACTATTTTCCACATTAGTACCTCCTGTTGCTAGCCTGTCACACAAACTATAACTGCTGTTGATACAAGATAATTACTTGGATACAAAAGTGGTAATTAATTGGTAAAAACTTACAAATTACTGCTCTCCTTGTTTCCACTTTATTACACCACTATTACCACATTATCACCGAGTTGTGTTGCCAGGTCCTTACTCGAATTAGAAAGTAATGTCACCACAAAGTCATGAACCCACAGTCAAAATATTTCCTTTCCACCTTCATTCCTGTCATTAGCTCAAGTGTTTGCATATAAAGAAAAATCACAGCCACCATACCCTGTTTATCCTCAGAATCTAGCAAACTAAGGATTTGATTGCTTTCCTGAGGAAGCAGGTTATTACAAATATACCATTTCATATAGAACATATAGAGTGAAGTATGTGATCTATGTTCCTTGTTCCATGTTCTCATGCCAGGCAAAAAAGAAAATCTAAGGACAAATAAGCAAAAAAACAACATAAGTCTGCCAGACAGCCGAAAGGCTGGCTCAAAAAGGCGGACCCAAAAGCAGACTCAACAGAAGCGAAGTTTCACAGGAATGGAAGGTTTATTTCATCTTTTTCTCAAGAGACTGAATCACAAGGGAAGGAAAGAGACAAGAGTCTCCTTACTTTGTTTGGCAGAGCTGTGGAGCTTTGAGGGGGAAGGGGAGTGTCCAGGTAAGTGTTGAGGTGTCCAAACAGAGAAGGATACAGGAGGGGAATTCCTTCGACAGGTGTTTGCTGGAGCAGAGAGCCGGGCAGGTGAGTGATCTGGGGAATCCTGAGAGCAGGTGAGTGGTACAGGAGCCGTGGATGTTGCAAGAATGGCCAAAGGGACAGTGATCCAAGGAGTTATTGAAATGTAGGAAAATATGTCCTTAGGCGTGGAGACTGTAGCACAGGGAGACGGAATATTAACATTTGGAAAACAAACTTGAACTCATACATGGAGGCTGATTTACCACTGGGAGTAGCAGACGATCTGGCAAAGAGTGGAAATCAGCGCTGGCCTTAAATGCAGGACTGCTAATTGCTGCCAATGGCTTGCAGGTGAGACTGGGCTGGCCCTGGTGCCAGACTCCGCCCAAGACCAGAGAAACCAAGGTGGAGGAGCCGAGTGGAAAAATAACAGAAACACAACACTTCCCCAGATAATGGCGAAGTAAGCTTGTTTTTTCTGTACGGAGTATTTAGTGACTTTTTCCACATTTCAGATCCAAACTTGATCCATGAATATCTGAGAGCACTGATTGGTTTACCTGCTTGAGTTATCGGAGTCAGCCTCACTGGTTTGACAACAGGAGCTGAAGCAATGTTTGTAACTTCCAGCTGTTTCAGTTAATGAAATATGGCGTGACACAGCATGCGAAAGCATTATCCATAACTATTCATTATTTCAAGTCAGAACTATCAATTACTCCCGAGATAGATTCTATCAGGACCTAACAGCAAATAAAAATCTACTCTGTGCAACTGAGACAGTTGAACTGTCACACAAAGACGTTTTATACACAACAGTTGCCCTCACGTTGAATCCTGAGCTCCATCATTGCTGTTGGGAATGTTTTACAGTCATGGGCCACTTTCTTAGAACGCTTTTGCTTTCAGAACTGCCTTAATTCTTCTTGGCATAGATTCAACAAGGGGCTGGAAACAGTCATCACAGATTTTGGTCCATATTTTGACACAATATCATCACACAGTTCCTGTAGGTTTGTCAGCTGCACGTCTATGATGTGAATCTCCCATTGCACTATATCCCA